GTCTTTTAAGAGACCATTTTAAAAGCCCTTTTTTTTTTTTTTATAAATTATTTTGTCTCCAGTATAGTGAGCAAGTGATTATACTTTCTCTTTCACCCGGAGCACTATTTTTAAGTCCCCTTTAAATTGAACTACTGTCGTTACTCCCTGCCAAGTGCCGTGTCTAATGCTTCAGTACTTCTGTTTCTGCAGTCAGATAGACCGAGGTAGAAGACTCTTAACAGAAGTGAAGCTTCTCGCCAAAGTGCATTGGGCTCCCTGTTGCTGCCTTTTCCTGTGTTTCTTCATGTGTGTGGATTACTCTTCTCCAGGTTGTATCTAGAGAGGAATGGGAGTAGAGAGGCCCAACGTTGGATATAGTCACAGGGATTGAATCTGGAAAAGGCCAGGAATGGGAATAGGGCATTTAAAGGATCTATTCCAGACTTGGGACATAAATGCCCACACTCACCTCCAGGGATATGGATTAATTCCTGGGTTGCCTCTACCAGTCAGGTTCAAGTCCTGGATTGAATTTAGTGCTTTATTTCTTTTGTAACTGTCACTGTAGGTTAGTACAAAACACATTGGCAAGGATATTTTCAGCTGACTACTTGATTTTGTGATTAGGCATGTGCTAGGTGCTTGACAAGTACCTGTTGGCTGTTGAGTTGGTTGGTTAGCATGGCTCTTTTAAGTACATTGGTGGGTGTACACACTGAGAATGAGATAATCAAGAATTGCTCTACAAGTGTATCTACAGCAGGGCTTTTGTTATATGAATATGGGATGTCTGAAACTTTAAGTTTATTTAAGTGAGTGTTATTGGTTTTCTTTGCTATGAAGCTGAAGAAACGTCATTAAGTTTAGAGGGCTTTAATTTTTTTTCTGTTGCAGTCAGCAGATCACCCAACTCTGGACAAAGTGTTAAAGGTACAGCCAGAAAAACTGGAGCTTATCATGGATGAAATGAAACAGATTCTAACTCCAATGGCCCAAAAGTAAGAAAGCTGTTGTTGTTTTCTTAACAAATAGCATTTGGAGGAGGAAAGTTTTGTATAGCCCTTGCATAGAATGATGGATAGTTTTCCAAATATAATGTTATTTCAGTTGGATTATAAGACTTAGAAATTGGACATTTGGACCATGGTGGAGGGATTAAGATGTAGCCTCAGACCAGACGGCCTGGGTGTGAATCCTGGTGCCCCCTCCGTCACTAACTATGTGACCTTGGACAGCTTAACCTTTCTGTGCCTCAGTTTCCATATCTATAAAATTGGGATAATTATAGTACATATAGAGTTTCGTGAATATGGGTTGATATTTCCAGAATACTCAGAACAGTGCTTTGCCCCTAAAAGCAATATGTTTCTGCTGTCTATTTAAACACTCAGTGTGAACTTGAAGCTGTTGGTGCCTGATCATCAGCCTCCACTGTAACACCTGAATTCACCAAGTGTCACACTAGGAAGTCTGGGTCAATTAGGTGTTGGCAGTTGCTGGTAATGTTTTGATCTACTTGGGTTTTAACTTTGCTAAAATTATTTTATGAAACTGATGCATTGTGAAGGGTGCTTGACAGAAAGAAAATAGGTTTATAATCATGTGCCCATTGTTGGGTAAAGAATATAGATGTTCTTATTTAACAGAGTGTATTTTGAATGATTTCATCTGCCGGTTAAATACTAGCGATCTGTATCCTGGTTTTGATCATAGATGGTAAGCACTAAAATATTTCTATAATCTAAAAGGTTTTTTTTAAAATATAGTTTTATTGGTTTCAGAGAGGAAGGGAGAAGGAGAGAGAGATAGAAACATCACCGATGAGAGAGAATCATTGATGGGCTGCCTTTTGCATGCCCCCACGCTGGGGATTGAGCCCGCAACCCGGGCATGTGCCCTGACTGGGAATCAAACCCGGGACCCTCCAGTTTGCAGCCGACACTCTAATCACTGAGAAAAACAGGCTAGGGCTAAAGGTTATTTTTTTAATCTTAATATTGCTGAAAGATATAATCTGTCTTTTGATGAATTAAATTCCCTAAAACCATTTCACTTGCTTTGATTATTTTAGGACAACTGAGGTTACTATGTCTGTATTAGTGTAGCAGCAGATCTGATGTATTCTCTTTTCCCTTTTTTCTATTTCCAGGGAAGCTGTGATTAAGCACTCATTGGTGCATAAAGTGTTCTTGGACTTTTTTACCTATGCGCCCCCAAAGCTAAGATCAGTAAGTTCTTGGTTTTAGTTTTTAGACCAAAACATAGAAGAGCCACGTTAATATGTAAAATACTGCTTTGATATACACTGTCTTTTGGGAATTTTGGAGAGCTACTTATTTAGAGAAGATAATCCAGTAAACTTTCTTTAAGCAACTCTGCTAATTGCCTTTAGATTTTTACCAGAAGGCAATAGAATTGATCATAGTTCTATTAACTCCATTTAATTTTTATATTTTAATTATAATCCAGAGTATGCTCTAGCTAACCTAATTTAAAAATTAACTAACAAATAGAGGGATAGTCAAGTAGTTTGAAATTCACCTGAACCGATACCAAAAAAATTATGTTGGTGTTAACAGATTAGAGAGGGAAAAAGGTTAGAGGAGGACAATTATGTAAAACTAAATGAACCATAAAAAATTGGACCTCATGTGATAGAAAAGAAACAGAGACTAAAGGTAAATTGCACTGCCCTTCAAGTCAGTGATGGGAATACAAACGAGAATTCATCGTTTAGTCCTCTGAACTTTGCTTGCCTCACCATACAGTGAGCTCATTGTCTGTCCTCATCCTAATAATAAGGGATCACTAAAGTAGTAACACTGACTTCCTAACACATATGCCAGACTAAACATTCATAGGAATTTTGACCTGCCGGAAATTGACATACAAAATAATTTCCCAAGAATAACCACTCACCTAAGCGTGTGGCTCGGTGACCATGGCAGCTGCTGCTTCTCTTTGGAGGAATTCTCTCCCGCCCCTGCAGAGCGCAGTATCTCACAGTTCTAGATGTACTGAGGCAGGACTGTTTTCAGAACTGGAAAATGATCATTTCAATACATTCAGTGGTGGAAATTCTTTCTTTTTAGTGTTAAATGTGTTTTAGTAATAGCAAAAACAATCATTGAGAACCCAGTGTCAATATAAAGTAATGAGGCAACTCTTTTCTGCCCTGGAGGCATTTTCAAAAGAGAGACAAAAAAAACCCTTTGGGGATAGTGGAAGCATAATTGGAATATATATATAGCTTTCCAGCTGGAGAGCTTTGAAGAGATTCATAAGTTTAGGTACATAAGTTGAAAGCTGTGCTGTTGAGATTCATCCTGGGTAAGGATTGTAAGATAATTAAGGATGGAATTGCTTGTTCCTTATTGAAGAAAATAGGCACCTAACTTCCTCTCTCCTTGCAGGAGACTTTGTACTTATTTAATATAAATTTTTTCACTGGGAATGGGCTAAAATGGGGCCCTGCAATTGTTAACTGCCAGAACTCATTTACATCTATAATTCCAAAATATAATTTAAGCCAGACTACCTTATAAGAAAGTAACAATTGGTTTTTTACTAAAGAGTCATTGATAGCCAAAACCGGTTTGGCTCAGTGGATAGAGCGTCGGCCTGCGGACTGAAAGGTCCCAGGTTCGATTCTGGTCAAGGGCATGTACCTGGGTTGCGGGCACATCCCCAGTAGGAGATGTGCAGGAGGCAGCTGATCGATGTTTCTCTCTCATCGATGTTTCTAGCTCTCTATCTCTCTCCCTTCCTCTCTGTAAAAAATCAATAAAATATATATATAAAAAAAGAGTCATTGATAGTGTTGGCCTAGTCTAATATGGAGATTAATTTTATTAGCGAAATGTTGTTTAGTGTTTTTATGGTGAATTATTAATGTGATTTCTTGGAAGTAATCCAGTGACAAACTAAAAAAGAGAAACTTTTTAGGCCAAATTAGTGTTTTGGTTCTCTTCCCTTTTAGGAAACAGCATTTCATTTATTTATTTTATCTGGCTTTTCTTTTTACCATAGTTACTTCCTAGCCTTCTTTTTCTTAAAAAATCATTTAGAATATATTGTATATATGCATTGTTCTTTAAATAGCCATTGTATTTTAATATAGACATATTTGATAAAATAGACGTGTATTTTAATAGAAATTGCTTGTCAGCAGTATTTGTCACTCCTGATGGAAAAGAATATTCCTAGAAAGATGGTATATATGCATGTGCTTGTCTACAAAATGAAAAATTAAATTGTTTGCTACCTATAATCTTTTTCATTCTCTGCGCTTAACTGCTCCCTAGTAGACAGATTAGTTTTAAAGGCAGAAAGAAAGCATAAACTAAAGCCTTGATGGCATTTGTTCCCCAGGAAATGATCGAAGCCATCCGTGAAGCGGTGGTGTACCTGGCGCACACACACGATGGTGCCAGAGTGGCCATGCACTGCCTGTGGCATGGCACGCCCAAGGTAAGTGTCAGGGCTTGGCCTGCCTTCCTCAGACTTTCTGTCTCCTTAGGTCTTACGGTGTGCATAAACTGCTTATCTTTGCAAAGCTGTGCCTCAGGGCCTCACAGGAATTGGCCTTCTTTGGGCCTAGTTCTAAAAGGTAGTAGTAGTAAAAGACATTTTTAAGTAGTAAAGTCAGATTATTTTAACTTTATACTTTATAACAATAGTTTTTTTCACTGCTGGAGTTTTCAGTAAAGTGTGAAAAATCTTGAGTTGTCATTATTTGGGAAGGGATCTGTCAAATCAATACAATATTTATTTATCTTAATGGGATAGGAAGCAGGGGGAGGAGATAATGAACAGTTACACATTTGCTTATACAGCTGATAAGTATTTTGAGGGAAAAGTCCATATTAACTACAGAAGTTTAACAACTAATTCTCATTTCTTTGATCAGTATGATTCTGCCTTTATAAGACAGTTGTACAGTGGGGCCTTGACTTACGAGTGTCACGACTAAGAGTTTTTTGAGATACCAGCTGTCTCGCGGCCGATTTTTTGCATTGAGTTGACAGTGTAATTTGAGTTAACAAGCTCGGTCTCAGAACAAATTTAACTCGTAAGTCAAGGCCCCACTGTACTTTGTCCACATTTTACATTAATACAAATTTAATTTCAACAAATATGTATTGAATGCCATAGACTATATATTTGAAAACTGTTCAGACATTGGAAGAGGGATCTCTCATTTCTCACTGTAAAAGAAGGTCATTTCACTAGGTTAGTCTTGCAACTGATAATTTTATGGCTCATATTTATGTCTGAATGGATATCACATACAAATGTAAGATCCTAATAGCTCTGAAAGGGCTAATATATTGCAATTTTTTTTTGTTCTGGCTGTATAACTATTTTCACTAATGAAAATAGTTGGAGACCAGAGGATAGTATAAAGCCACTCCAATGACAACTTAATATTAAATCAAAATTTTATCTATGAAATACCTTAAATCTATAATTAAAAGTTGAGTTTTTTTTGTTTTTTTTTAAGGACAGGAAAGTGATTGTGAAAACAATGAAGACTTATGTTGAAAAGGTGGCTAATGTAAGTATAATAATATTTCTTTTAATTGTTATTAAATTGAAACCATGTTTATTATAGAAAATTTAAGAAAACGACCAGCCGAAACCGGTTTGGCTCAGTGGATAGAGCGTCGGCCTGCGGACTGAAGGGTCCCAGGTTCGATTCCGGTCAAGGGCATGTACCTGGGTTGCGGGCACATCCCCAGTGGGAGATGTGCAGGAGGCAGCTGATTGATGTTTCTCTCTCATCGATGTTTCTAGCTCTCTATCTCTCTCCCTTCCTCTCTGTAAAAAATCAATAAAATATATTTAAAAAAAAAAAAGAAAAAGAAAACGACCAATAAATTTATTATTTATTTTATTACAATCTTATTCTATGCATATGCATGCATTTTTATATATTAAACTTAAACAAAATGAGGTTTCACCTTTATTTAACATTGCATAGTGACACATTTTCCACTTTTTTTAAAAATATATTTTATTGATCTCTCACAGAGAGAAAGGGAGAGAGACAGAGTTAGAAACATCGATGAGAGAGAAACATCGATCAGCTGCCTCCTGCACATCTCCCACTAGGGATGTGCCCGCAACCCAGGTACATGCCCCTGACCGGTATCGAACCTGGGACCTTTCAGTCCACAGGCCGACGCTCCATCCACTGAGCCAAACCGGCTTCGGCCATTTTCCACTTTTATTAGATACTTTTCGAAGACTTGATATTTGCTACATTATTTAGTGAATTTGTTCAATCATATTAATTACGCATGGAAGTTGCTGCCTAGAATAAATTCTAGTTAAGTTTTCAGTTCTTTGGAATCCTTTGGAGGTGTAACAGCTTTCCTGGTAAATTAGAGGATGTATAAAGTTTTTGTGAGGCACTAATGACCTCATTAATGTTTTGCATACTTACAACTATAAACTTACTTTTGCCCACCCTGTATTTGTAGTAGCAAATACTATAACATTTTTTGAGTTATTATATTTTGTTTTATAACCTCTTATTTATTGGAGAACTAAAATTTGTATTATCAACGACTTTTTCCTATGAAAAATCTAATGAGAACTACTAGCATCTTAATGTAGTAAATACTAATTCAAGCACATTTGCTGCTGTGTGAATGAATACATACCTGTTGTCTTCTGTAGGATTGGAGACCAGGAGGAGAGTATAAAACCACTTAAAAGGCAGCTAACTTTTCTGTAACGAAATGAAATAAGATTCTTTAGTGTGTTGTGTCAGAGTATGAGAATATTTTATGATTTATTATTCATCATCAAGTAAGTCTTTTTGTATAACATTTTAGTTTGAATATTTTAAATTAGAAATAAATATAAATAAGATGTTAGTAGAAAGTTCTAAATAGTATTAGTTGTAAAAGATATTTTTAAGAAATAAAATTAGATTATTTTAACTTCATAGTTTATTTTTAACAACAAATTTTTTCAAGAAACTAATCCCCACAAGGCATTGTAATGGTAACAAGAAATTAACAATTTAATGTATTTTTTATCTCAAGAAGTTCCTTCTAAGGGGGGAGTTAAATTAATACAACCCATGGATTTGACTTACGGATTGTTTAGAAGTGTGTCATTTCCAAAATATTGGGGGTTTGCTGACATACTCTATTATTTTAATCCTTTTCTAAATACTTATTTTATGGCCTAACATGGTCTATCTTGGTATCTTGAAAGGAAAGTGTTTTTGCGGAGTTATAGGGTGTAATACTCTATAAATGTCAATTAGATCAAAGTGGTTGATAGTGTTCAGATAATCAAAGTCTTTACTAATTTATTTATCATTGTTCTATATGAGTTACTGAAAGAAGCCTTAAAATCTCCAATTGTAATTGTGAATTGTCTGTTTCTCACTTAAATTCTGTACCAGCTATTTTTGTATTCACTCAGATGTTTTGTGCCTGGGCATGTTCCTGTGTGTCAGACTTAAAAAATCAGAAACCAAAGCTTGTGTATGCACATTGTTCTCTACTTTGTTTCCTTCACTTAATTTGTCTCAGGGGTCATTTTATTTCAACATACATATATGTACATCTATCTACCTCACCTTTTTGATGACGTCATAATATTTCATTATATGAGTTTCATAATTTATTTAACCAGTCCCTACTATTGGACGCTTAGGTAGTTCCTAGTTTTTTGTTATTTCAAATAGTACTCCAGTGCATGTCCACTGTGCATATATGGAAGCATGGCTATAAGATAATTCTAGAACTAGAATTGATGAGTCAGAAAGTACATGCATTTTAAGTTTTTTAGATGTTGTCAGTTCCCCTTCCAAATAGTTGAACTACTTTGCATTCTCACCAACAACATAAAAGTGTGCTTGCTTTTCTCCAGACCTTTGCCAAGTTAGTATATTATCAAGGATTTTCACTTCTGCCTATAGAGTAGGTGGAAAATGATATTTTATTGTTTTAATTATTCCCTTTAATTAATGAGCATTATTTAATATGCTTAGAGCCATTGGTATTTCTTTTTCAGTGAACTGACTCTTCATTTTCTTTGCCCATTTTTAGTAGATTGTTGGTCTTTATATAGTGAAGATGTTAGACCTTTGTAATTTGTCTAACTGAAATGTTATTATTTGCCATACTTATCAGACCTGGCTCTGAAGAGGGTTATCAAAGTCAAATGCCCTCTCAAAGTAAAAAAAGGTTCATACTGTCTAGAATACAAGAAGAATAGGCCTCAAACTCTGAATGCACTTTCTTCTTCTTTTTTATAAAGTAGTTCTTTAACTCTTTGGAACTATATCAGCATCCTAGATAATTCTGTCAGTTCAAGAGGTGGACATTGTGAAAATCACAGTGTGTATTTGTATGATCTCTTGCTGTTATACTTTTTAAACAATTATTTTTATTTCTCATTCAGTATATAACTATATTCTTCTAGTTTATTTTTAGTATTTCTAGTCTAATTATATAGAATTATTTTAAAGAAATTGGACAATATATAAAGGAAAATGAAAAGTTTTTATCCTTCAACCCAGAGGTGACTATCCTATCTAATAAAAGAGAAACATGGTAATTGGCGTACGACCGCTACCCTTCCCATTGGCTAATCAGGGTGATATGCAAATTAACTGTCAGCCAAGATGGCCGCCGGCACCCAGGCAGCTTGAAACTAACATCAGGGTGATATGCAAATTAACTGTCAGCCTCCAACGTTCCCGACTGCCGCTGCAGGCCTCTGACCTACAACTCTAAGCAACTATGTAACAAATATAGAAGCTAAACAAAACCCCAGAAACCTGCTTTAGTCCACTGGGCTTCAGCCAGCAGGATCGCAACATTGTTTCAAATACAGAAGGGAAACAAAGGCCAGAATCCTGCGTTCAGCAGCAGAGGGCTAAGAGCTGGAGTCCAGGCT